CCATTTTGAAACGTATAATCAAAATAAATTAATTAATTAAATAGATAATAAAACATAAAATTAGATATACACAGTGGTGAATTAATTAAAAAATGGGAAATTAATTATAAGATAAAAAACAATTAAAAGAATCGCTACAAGAATATTTTGATTATAATTTACTAATTATCATCATGGTCTTATTTTTCTTTCTTTAGAAATATGCTTTAGGTGCGGCTTTCATTAAGAATAACATGTTTTAAGTATTTAGTACTTATAGATATTATTTGAAATAAACGTCTCTATAAAAGTGTTCGTACAACTGTACTCTGCATTCGCACAAGTTTCGATCGAAATCGATCGAAGCCCGATCGCGTTAGTTCATACGGACAGATGTTTGACGATCGTAATAATCCAGCCGTGACTTCAAGCGGAAATGACGCGCTTACAACGATGGTCACCGATGATCTCACAGAGATGATACGCGGTGATAGGGATCGCTTCTCGTGCTATGAAATTGTTTAAAAACGAATACGGGGCCCTCGCATGGCCGGACATCGTCGCCTTAATGACGCCAACTGTCACTAAAGGCCCCTTCGATCATGTGCTCGGCGATGTGTCTTAATTGGTCCGCAAGTCGACCGTTATTATTATTAATTCTGAAAGTGACGCGGGTAATGCAAATATTATCCGTTCGGCAAGAGCAACTTTGACGGCAGGTAACGCGAAAGTACGTTGCAATTTTACGTTTGCGATATAATTAGTTATCCGGGAATCACACTCGTCGCATCGGGAATGCATGCGCGCGTGATCCGCGTGGTAACGTATGTAAGTACGTGTACTGTGCCGATATTTATGAGAATTTTACCCGTTTCTTTGATCACGATCATCACGAAGATAGACAATCGTTAACATTTTACGGTAACATTGTGCGTCTGCTCTGCAATTACCAGGCCATAACTCACCGCGGTACATCGCTGCATCTAATTACCAGGCTGACTACAATCGGCGATTCATTTTAATAATGCGGTACCGCGTCTATTTTAAACTTTCTTTCCTCGATCAACGTGCGCCATTTAAAGCGTATCTATCCTGAATTTATTATTTTCACATGTGCAATGATCATTAAACCCTGAATGAATTGCGCGCGTTGCACGCACGAGTTATCGAGGGCCGAAGGGGTAAAGAAAAATTAATAATCGCGTAATCTTTAATCTAACGCTTATTCCATTCCAATAATAATATATTACGACAATGTATTCCCATTGCGTGACCTTGACGTGAAAAGCGCAGCCGATATACGCGGCGTGTACATCAAGTCGCGGATACATGACTTCGCGTTAAAAAGAGATGCGCGGAGACGTATCTTAACCCGGGATCAGTCTGGGCTGGTTAGCCGTCTAGTCGCATTTATAACTCATCATTATTATTTGAGTTGATTTGAAACACGCGCGGTGTAGCCTTTCCCCTCTCCGGCTTGCATGCGACCATCGTCGTGGTCGTCGTCATCATCATCATCACTCTTCCTTACGCGCCGCCGCGCGAATCCGGCAGCTGCTATGAAACACGCATCGACGCACACGTCCTCGGGACACACACACACACACGCGAGTAATAAAACTTATCGATATAGATCGATCAATCCTATCGGGTATCATCAATCGTATTGCTGTTTCGAATGGCTCGAACGAATATTGACATCTCTGTTACACTAATTATATGTATTCGGAGTAATTAAGGCTTTTATATTACTGTCTCAAACTGTGATGCATCCAGAAATGAAAAAGCACACCATGAACATTCTTGCGAATTACATTTAAATGGAAATATTTTTTAATAAGATAACTTTAATTTGTAATCAATGTAAATAGATAATAAAATATAACTATCTTTTTTTTTTGTTTTTCGGAAAGAAATATAATCGTATATATTTCTGTATACTATTAATTTTGTGTGCGTCACAGTTATGAAATATAGCTTATTCTGCTTTTGGTTGTGCATAATTCATTTTTAGATATATTATTATTTATTAATTAATGAAATAAAAAAGTTTTTCGATATATTTCACAAGTCAATTGTATTGGGATTGACTTTTTTTAGTGAAATATATTTTTATATCAATTTATATGTTGCAAGAATTTTTATTGTGTACTTTTTAAAATTTTGATATCATAATCTGAAATATCAGTGGTGAATGAATAGGATCCTTAAATAATAATAATAATAATAATAATAATAGCAATAAGGAAGTATGCGATCGATTATTACGCGATTAATTGACAATTGTATTAAAGTTGCAATATTTTATAATATATAGAAAAGTTCGTTTCACAGTTACATTGTCTTATACATAAAGCCAGAGTTTTTGAATTTTTTTTTTTTACGGAATTAAGTCCGACTTAGGAGAAAGAAAAGCGTAATCTTTTTAATGTCGTGATATTACGGTGGTTATTTGTGTGCTACTAAAAAAATTGCTAAAGATTCATATGGTCAAGAATAGCGTATTCACATAGTAGACATTATATTTCTTCCTTTATTTATTCTTTCTCGGAATGACATTAGAAATAAAAAATATTACATGATTATGAAAAAATATTGAACAGAACAAAACATAAAATCGATTCGAAAGCAGAAGCTTCAAGACGCGAATTCCTATAACTCATATTTGTATCGAGATTCTCTGTCGAATCACTGGTACCGAATACCGAGTACCGTTTTCGTTCAACGCTATCAAAAGCGCCATAAAAGAAGCGGCCGGTGAGGCCATCGGTGGCAGGGGGAGGGTGGGCATCGGGTGAAATTTGTCAGTATTAAATAAATAACCCATAAAGGCGGAACATCAATCCACCGTGGAGGCATTAACGCCCGATATAGAGGGGGGACGAGGCACAACGGCTGTTATTTTTCATACACCAGCTACATCTTATATACGAGCGCGCCTATATATCGAAGCTCACGCGTTCTTCCTCTCGCCGTAAAGGAGAGGACCTCCCCTTTCTTCTTGTTTCTTCCCGCTCTTCTCTTTCTTCTTCTTCGAGGTTTTTACGACCGGCACGTTGGACCGTATCGCAAGTTACGCCGTAGATCAAAAGTGATGTGTCTATTATGACGTAAATACTTAAGATCCCTCGAGTCTCCGTTATGGCCTTCTGAACGAAGTTTCGTTTCGATACACGATGCCACAATTCGGGCTCCCTATAAGTTTGCTGAAAAAATTCTGTATCATCAAATGCAAAACTAAAGTAGAATACGAGTGGACAGAGATTCGTATGTCAGGCTTAAAACGCTCGTCACGCTAAAACAGTTGATATTAATCCTTGCAGCAATATTTCTGCAAAGTTTGCAATGTTACTGCAATATTGTTGGAACGTTGCAATGTTAATACAATATTGCTGAAATGATCTGTGTCGTATGGGAATTGTTCGATAAATTAAAGAAATAACACAAAGCGAATATAGCATAAAATTAATATACGATCACAACACTATTCAAGCGTGTCAGTTATCGTTCAGTACATCGTTTTCAATATCGAAGAATATATTAATCTGCAACATTGTACATATTAACGGAGAAACGAAAGAACCGGAAGGACCACCGAAGGCGCAGCGGCAAGCTTTAATCCAGTACAAGAGAGACACGGTTGAAGACGCGCGCGTGCGATGAAGCGATATACATCCAAGGGAGCGGCTAAGACGAAAAGCGAAATCTTAGCAGAAGGACTGGACTAACGGCGGAAGGGCCGCCAGGGCGGAGGCGGCTGGAGGCGGCTGCCGTATACTGTCGATACAAGGGGTCGATTGTGACTTGAAAGGCACCGCCGATCCAACGACTCTCGGACCGCATTCGGTGGTCAGGCCGGTGCACGACGTGGTACAGTGGCAGACTTGTTGCCCACGATGCCGATTCCGATGCCGAGATTACGGCGGATTTCGCGCATCGCGCGTCCCATCCTGGGACACGCTATACGCGCCGTGGCCGCTATTAGCTTCGGCTTTGATTGGCTGCGTTTAATGAGCCGGGCGACACGCGTATATAAATTGCTGCTTGCTCGTCTTTGAAGATATTTCGAGGCGGTTGCAGGAGGATTCCTCTTCCTCCTCCTTTTCCTCCTCCTCCTCCTCCTCCTCCTCCTGCTCCTCCTCTTCCTTCTCTTCTTCCTTCGCGATATTTCGACATTCCTTTCTCGTCTGCGCGTTTTGCAGTATGTATCGCGGATGTCATCGCCAAATTTCTGCAAGTTCGTCTCCGCCTCGCGGTCACGGACTACGCGTTGGCGTGTCTTAGCGACAGATGAATGGCTTCGAAAGAGGAAATGTGTCTCCTCGAATAAACTACGACATTCATATTAGCGACGAAGTTAGATACTTTGAACGGTGCAGCTGGCAAATTATTACGGAACGGGATTTTAATATACTGACATAATATTTATTACATTCTTACATTTTATTGTGATTATTAAAATGTTTATAATTAATGTTTGATTTCCAGCAACTAAGCGTTCTTTTGTAAGGCACTTGTCATTTGTCGCGCATCGACGCATGCATAGAAACTAATAGCGTTTTTCACTGGCAGAACTAGTGCGCACTCAGTGCGCATTAAAGCTGTCGTATACTATCTTAATCTGAATGTAAAAGTGAGATATTTCAATTAATAAAAATACCTAATGTATATTTTATTAAATATTACAATAAAATGTATTGAGGATTTCGCGGTTTAATTCGTTCCTATATTTTTATTAAACGTACATCTTTACGTCGATTTGTGTACAACGACTTTAAAGTGCACTGAGTGCGCACCAGCTTTGCCAGTGAAAAACACTATAAGGTGATAGTGAAATGTTTTATATTACCGTCTGAATCTATCCGAGTATATCTTTAGTATTTTTTATTTCTATTTTACTTACGTGAATATAACCATAATAATTGTATATAACCTACGTCCTCTTACACCATGAATATAACTCTTAATTGCTAAACTTGAACATAGTTCAGGAATGAAAAGACACGATGCCGAAAATCGTTGTATCAACATTCGCGAGAGTTTTATCGTAAAATTGAAGACGTCCTATGAAAATTATCCGAAGAATATGTAAATCTCTTCAAAGTGAGCAAATTTCTATTCACAAATTAATTCATATCGTTGTTAAACATTTGAAATAATTACGTTTAATTTTCCAGAATACCGCGAAATATGGGCGTAAAATAACCTCTCTAATAATTAGTCAAATATTGATTTTGGAGTAATTTTTGGAGTATCAATCGATCATTTTTCCGCTCATTTTGATTCAGTATGACGCGAACCAGAAAAAATTCCCCGGAACGCCCTGCGGATACGTTTGCAAAGAGTTGCACACAGGAATTCGAAACGAACTATTTCTTTTCGTTGCAAGGCAATAACAAGTCCACTAATACGCAATCACGAAGACGAGCTTCGAAAATATCCGCTTCGAGTGTGGAGATGTATCTTAGGATAAAACCATACTGGATTCGACAAGACAATTACATCTTACTCGACATGAGAACTCTTTTAACAACATTTCAGCCGTTTAAGGATAAATTTATTCGAAATTCGAGATGTGCGAAATCGAGCGAGGCCAAAGGCAGTCGGCATGTCTTTACGAAGATTTTTGGACCACAAACTTCGCAAGAGGAGATGTTCGAGGGATCCATAAAACATCGAGTCGTGGAGTTTCTCAGTGGTAAAAGTTCAACCATCATGACTTACGGCATGATGTATTCCGGGAAGACTTACACGTTGTTCGGCACGTCCTTATCGCCCGGTATAATAATGCTTAGTATCAATCTTGTATTTTCGACGATAAACTGCACTGTACAGCCATGGTACAAACGGACGTTTCAAGACACTATGGTCTACTTGAATGAGATCGTGCGAGCTTCGAAGATGCAACGAAAAACGCGAGTATTAAATGGACAATCAAAGAATGTTAATCAGATATCTGCGGAAGCCAAAAAGTTTTTCGAGAACTCACAGCCAGGCAATCCTGATAAATCCGAAGAATGTGATAGTGAGTACGCCGTCTGGCTGTCCTTCGCGGAGATTTACAATGGAAACGTTTACGATCTGTTGGACTTCGCGGAAACACGCTCTCCATTGAAATTGTATATGAACACTGAAGGGCAAACTGTTTGCGATTTGAGAAAAATGTATGCTGTAACTGCGCTGGAAGCTCATAAGATTATCATGGCAGGCCAATCGAACATGAGCGTCACAGGATCGGGGAATTCTCGATCACATACTATTTTCACGATGGAATTAGTGAAGTATCAGAAGGATTGTGCAGCGGAAGAAGTGATCATCAGTTCTTTGACTTTTTGCGACTTGGCTAGCTCTACACAGTTCAAGAAATCACATATGCGCGAAGTAAGTAGTATCAATAACAGCCTGCTAGTGCTTGGTAGATGCCTCAAGGCTCTGAGTCAGAATCGAATGGCACCATTCCGCCAGTCAAATTTAACGAGAATATGTCAACGAGCCCTCTCAGGTGAAGAAAATCTGAGTTTTATAATGAATGTCATTCTTGAGTCAAGTTTGAATCTACTTGAGATACAGAGAGATAGATTTGAAATGCAGAGCATTTTTAATTTCTGTGATATAATTAGAAAGCTAACAAATTATCATAAGGAGTGCAAACAAATTTGCGAATTTGAAGAAACTATCCGTGATCTCGAAACATTTGATAATACTATGACGTCATCATCTAATTATCAAAGCCCATGTGAGAGTGCAGAAATGATTGGCTGTACCGATTCGTCAGAGTGCAGAGATATACGAGAACAGAATAGAAGACTAAAGCAAGAATTGGAAGCTGCAAAAAGTGATATGTTAAATTGCGAATACTCAATTCGACAACAACTGGCCGATCGTTATTTACGCACAATTGAAGAGTTGGAAGGGACCTACAAAGAGAATACCAAGAAGATCGAAACTGAGGGAGAGGATCTATTAAAATGGTCTAAAGCTCTCAAACAGGTCGAAAGCTTTTATAAGGAACGCATCGATAATCTGATGCAGCATAAGAAGAGAAAGCGAGGAAACAGCGGAGATTATATCGTAGATAGTCATACACTTTACGAAGAGCTCGAAGCTGAGAATGCACAGGTCACTTCCAAGGTGATGGTTCTGAAAGAAGCAGTGAAGAAATTGAGGCAAGAGAACAAGACGATCCTCTGCGAAAAGAACAAATATAGCTTTGAATTAGCTTTAGTAACGGAAGAATTGAAAAAGTTTCGACAGCTCACGCGAGCTAGGATTCGTAAGTGGGATGGCAACACTGAAAACATCGAGGATGACACTGATTGTCTCATGAACAATCTGGAACGGTCAATGGATGAAAAAGTAAAAAGAACCGAGGAGAAACTCGAAGAGATGAGCGAATATATTCGTGTAATAGAAAATAAAGACGCTGAAGCTGCTTCTGGAGCGAAACAGAAATTATCAAAATCGGAGTATCTTTTGAATGATACTTTGAACGAAGTGAAAGAATTAGAAGAGGAACTTTTACAAGACCCTTGCATCATCAAACTGCAACATCATACACAGTTGCAAGAAAGACAGCTTGTTGAAGTTCGACAGTGCTCGAATGATACCAAAAATGAGAGTATAAGCGATCAAAAATGTGATCAATCAAATATTTCATTTGAGGATTATATAGCAGATAGCTCTATTCAGGATGATATATCTGTAGTGAAAAATCCCTCACGAATGTGCATGAACTCAACCACAATTGAACAAAACGAGTTTAACGACTGGACCATTGTTCCTACATTGTTTGCGGACCATGTCGAATCAACGAAGAAGAAATTCTCGAACGTGCCAAGCGTTGATCGCAAAAGTCTCTTTGAAAGTAGTGGCAGTATGGATTGCAGCGGTTCTAGATCGAGTGACAGAAGTAGCAAAGATGACTCGGGTGTAAGTAGCGAATTACAAAGATCTACCAGCATAAGTGATCACGCGAGTATCCACGAAAATGAGGATAAGTGCACAGAAACTTGTGTCATCAATGAGGACAATCAGAATTTAGTGAAAGAAAACTTTGAACAGCTGAAAGATAGCGCAGATTTGAATAAATGGAATTATCAAGAGATGGTACATGCTGGTGAATTGTCTGAAGACCTGGAAACTATTCGGGATGTGATTTATACATTAAATGAAGAGACTTACGCGAACGATTATCAAATGGTGCATAAAGAGGAAACATTGGAACGACTGATTGAAGAGAAGAGTGAAATTGGAACCAAAGACGATAGCGTATTCAAGATGACAGAAAATAAAATAGAAGAATACAAACGTGAGATTTGTGAGCTAAGCCGCAAACTGGTAGTCAAGGAAGAAAATGAAAATCGAATTTCCGAATGCTTAGAAAGATATGTAAAGAAATCTAGAGCCTTTGAACATAAATTATCTTTGTTGCGCAACCGGCTGAAGAAAGTGTTTAGTACATGCGCAAATGGACATTTACCAAAGATCAAAAATTTGGAAGAAGAATTGTTACAAAAGATAAGCGAGCTCGATAGAAGGATTGCTGAAATGCAACATGATTTTGCGAAAAACTACGAATTGTTCCAGAAGATATATGATTTTGAGATTATTGTGAACAAATGTCAAAAAGACAAGAACGAGCTTTACACGCAGTTGTATGATTGTTCCGAGACCCAATTGACTCTCGAGGATAAACTGAAGAAATTAACAATGAAGATAACAGAAAGAGAGAGCGGAATTATCTCGTTGAAAAGTGAAGTACGTAATATAGCAGATCTGAACGTTGCAAACAATGAGAAAGCGAGAAATCTGAGTGAGCAAATTACCGAAGCTTACGAAAGTATCGGTTTGGTTAAGGAAGATCTGCATTGTTGCAAAGATTTGCGTAAAAATATGGAGAATACCATGAAAGCGGAAATTCATAATTTGAAATCTCAGTTGTCAGATCAAGAAAATAATACAACACTCCTGAACGAAATTTACAAGACTTATAGCGACAGCCAGGATGAAATAACTCGTTTAAAGATGCAACTGGAGCATAAAGAATTAGAATTAACTCTACTTAAAACTAATAAAAATGCTTCAATAAAAAGATATGAGATTTTGAAACATTTGCAAAATGAAATCGAAGAGAAGAATAAATACTTTGAAACTGCGAACAGTTTAAATAACTTGGAAAGATCTTTAACTGAGAATCAAAAAGAGTCAGAAGAAACCTTAAGAAATCATGAAGCCAAAAATAGTTCCGCAAACAGTTCCAGTTTCGTGCCTAATCACGCTAGTTCGGAGACATTAACTGTTTCGTCAGCTCCAAGTGAAAAATCCACAACTTTTTTCGATGAGGCTAATGACTTTGATTACATTACCATTAAATTGGATAACGAATCTTGTCAGGTTTGTTTGTACGTAATATAAAGTAGGTTTTAATTGTAGAGTCAACAATTAACGTATATATGTTAACGTCTAATTGTTATAATAGAATTTTGAAGAAAGTTTTTTAATTAAATTAAAAGTTGTTTGTTATTAACATACAAATAAAGTTGAAAAATTTAATAATTACGGAAAAAGATCTCACATATAATATTCTACATCTTTTATATTTTCAGACAGAAAGCAGTATAAAGTCAAACATATATTCATCTGTATGCGAAACTGATAGTTCTGAAATGGAACATAATTTTAACATGAGATCATCAGATACCAAAGACAAAAAGAAAAGTCCAAATTGGATGAAAGTTAGAAAAATATCTGGTAATACCACACTTTCGCGCACTTTTTGTAAACACACAGATATTAATAGTGATTCAGAAATTGAGTGACAGTAAACATAATAATTAATGTTCGTTTAATTATACATAATGCTTATATATAATTATTGATATTAAGAATTACTATGTGCGTTTTTTAAGTAACTTGACATTCATTTGTGTTCCGTGTATTTTGTTTTGCTGAATGTTTCACATTTTAAACATACGTCATACTTTAAATTGAATAGAGAAAAAATCTCGCATATCTCAAATATTATACATTTTAGTTCTACTATTGTACGTTTAATTTGTATTGTTGTCTCTATATTGTTTTATCGTTATGCACATATAGCTCATAAATTTATGAACTTTTATGCAACCTTTACATATTTTTTAAATAATAGTCAACGAGAAAATTGTGCGAATTTATTGTGTATGAGAGATTACGTATAAAATATATTTTAAAGTTTAAAACAGTATTTTAAAGTGTATTTTAATCAATATTATCGCTTTTATTATTTTAGCCATAAACAGCTAATTGCAAGAATATGGATATGACGCGAGAAGTGAGCTGTATTAATATATTGTTATGGTATTATCCATAAGAAGCAATAATGTGATTGGGAATATTATCGATATATCAGATATTTTCCTGAACAAGATCGCGTGTAATGGCGAAATGTGGTTCCGTCATTTGTTACAATAAACGAACCACCCACAAACAGAGATGGCAACTGCGTTGAGCTTACTCGTACAAAAGCGGACCCTGCTCCAGATTTTATTGCCAATATGCTATAATTTCTGACATTAGATGCTGCTGACGCTTTCGTTCGCTCATTACAACTCGCCCCATCCCCAAACGTGATCTTCCCGCGAAAACGGCTATTCTGACTTCTCTCTCTCTCTCTCTCTCTCTCTCTCTCTCTCTCTTTCGCGGATACTGATAGATGAAATTATGAGGGAGGATATCGAAATTGAACCGCGACCTCCACTCTGCACAATCTTTTGGCTTCTGAAGATATTACCGGGATGTGTGATGTGATAAGGGGATACGAATAAATGAGAGAAAATCGTCTAATATGTACTAGATTGCAATCTGCTGTGAGTTTACGGACGTAAGAACAACGCTAAGATTACTTCTCATATCGGTTCAACCGTTTCAATGTATTTTTTAAACAGTTTATTTTTGAAAAAAAAAATGAGAAGTTGATTTTTTTTTAAATAACAAGAGACATTTAGAATAATTTTGATGTTAAAGGTGCGCGAATATTTAATTATATTTTCAAAATGAATTTATTCCATTAATTATTTGCCGGACTATCAATCTGACTGTAATTATTTTCGTATTACTTTCTCGTAGACGAGCTTGTTATCGCGATGGAAAGAGCCACGAGTGGCTTGCAGAATCGCAGATCGCAGCGGCCATTTTCGCTAGCTCACCTCTTCGTCGTCGGTGATTTCTCGGGGTAAATGTACCGCGAACTTTCCTCTTTCAATTGGCAATAAGATTTGATCGTTGCGGGAAATATCATCCAATTTCCTTTCTCTCTTGGCCGGCCCGGAACATTGCCGCTCGTCCGCCTACTCACGTTCGCCCTCTAACTTCACCATCAACCACCCTCTTTCCGTTATCCTTTACACGCCCGGTCGCAAGACATAAAGATGGCGAAATCATCCCCTTTAGTTCGCCGGTTGAAATTGCATCAATGCAATATGCGTACTGATGCTTGTACGTTATACGTTTTTACTTTATATACTTTATATACTTTATATAATTATTTTTTATCGATTAAAAAAATTTCTGTTTTGACACGTTTTATTTTCTAATTATCTTATTTAATAGAAATGGAATCGTAAAAAAAATGAAATTATTTACTAGAACAATTAAGATTACCTTCTATATTTATGCGGAACATCTCATTTACAGATCAAATAAAATTAAATTAAATAGAAATATGTATATTTTGTATTATTCAACTAATGTATACGACGGTTAAAATTCAGGACAACTAACGTAAGATAATATACACGCTGTTTGAAGGCTGAGCGAGCGCTCAGAGGAGTAATCAGATAGAGGAAGAGAAAGTTATCCTGGGCGAAGTTTGCTCGAGACATTAGTTTATAATTCGGCAATCCCGGATCAGTATTTGTCACGATTAGCCGAACCCCCTCCCCCTTTCTCCTCCAACCGTTGGAATATCTGTTTCTGGGGAGGTCTCATCCCTTTCTCTCTTCACCCCTTCTTCGTGAATCCTACGCGAGTTTTCATTAATTTCGCCCAATCCTGCCGAACTATTGTCGTAGTTACGCACAATTTCGGCACGACAATGCCCAGCTTTCTCTGGGATTGACGTAGACGAAAGGGGAAAGCGGTCGAGGGAAAGAGAGGCCAAGCCTGTAAGGAGTTATAACGATGTTGAGTGGGAAGGGTAAGAAGTTCTCCGGGTTCAAAGCCCGGGGTGGCATGGATTATATTTCTCGTGTCATTTGCCTTCTGAGTTAGACCGATGACGTTTCGCCTCGAGTTTCTCTGTAGAAATCTTACTACGTGAAGCGAGAAGAGACTTGTCGAGAATGGGATTTGATAGAAAGAGTTTCGATATAAATTGAGAAATTTTCATTTATAATAGTAGATAGCATGTACAGGTATAATAAACGCTGTCGATATTTTTGTAAAGTATTAATAGAAAGACAAGAATGTAATTCTCTTATAATAAGCTATCGTTATCCTGGGTGTTACTGATGTTAATAATAATCAAATCGATGTCGTAAATATATCACTGTAAATTTAAAAATTGTACAACAAAAGATAATTCCACTGCTGATCAAACATTTATGACACACATTCACAACGAAACGTGGTGATAAAGAATACAAGCCGTTGCAAGTACAAATGGCACTCCTGCTCGAAAACTTTGACTCCGATATGGCCACTTTTGTCAACGTCGAACGATATCTTAAGAATTAGCCTCACGGGATTTCGAGGCGAGAAGCTACTGCCGGTTGCCAGCGCTACGTTGAAAACATATGTGTGAGTGTCACGGTAAAGCTACAAGAAGAGACGGGTGGAATCGTCTGGACCCATTTGCAATGTCACCCGGACAATTTCCAACGGACAAACTTCCATCTTCGAGCTTCGGGGGTCGGACCTGCGATATTAGAACAAACGATTTCATCTACTACATCCTCATGCCTCTCCCCGAGATCATCCCACCACATCGAGATCTATGTGCGAGCCTAGAGATACAGAGACGATTTCATAAGAAATATCTCGCCGTTTACAGACATAATTCGAATTACTTCGATATGATTAAATTAATATTTATATGTAAGGTAATAGAAAATACGGTATAAAACTCGAGAATAATTTAAATTTATATTGATGATAGAATAATGGAAATTTCATTGAAATAATAAACTTTCAATATCAACTATCCTTATTAAAATAATTATTAATAGAAACTGTTTTGATTAATTTGTAATTCTATTTATAAACAATAGTTTATAACTAACTACAATTCTGTTTATACACATTTAACTTATTACAATTTTTCTGTTGGAAAAGTTGGAAAAGTGTATCGCGATACAGAGTGAAATTCGTTGGTGATTATTTACCAATATTATGGAAACGTAAGGTAACAGAGGTTCGCGGTTATTCGCAGCGTTTTCATCACCGTACGCAGGCACGTTGAGAACATCCCCCGGATTAAATACAACCACGCTTCCGGACGATGACTGCGTTGCGCCGCGTCGCGTCGCGTCATGTTGCACTGGATAAATCGCGATATCGCGTAATATCGCGAGTGAAGCATTTGCGCGAGTAGAGAATTGCGTAAAGGCAAATATGCGATAGACTATCCGAACGTCCCGTATTGTATGATTGTCTCCGTTCTCCACTCCCTTCTCCAACCATCCCTGTCCGCCTCTCTCGCCGCCGCCGCCGTCGCCGTCGCGCGTTTCGCAGGAAATGCCTGTCTTGCATTTCCCGGCATTGTAACCACCCCGTCGGCTTCGGAGTATTGCCAGCCTCCACGTTTGAATTGCATTACCTATTATTGCTTATTGTTCGCACGCTACGTGCCTCTCGTCTCCTGCGTGCCCGGATTTTCTCTCTTTGGTCCACCCCCTTGATATTCCTTTCTGCTCAGCTGCGGCTTGACTTTGTCTTGCTCCTTTTTATTCGCTATCGCGAATATCACATCGTTAATGTTTCCCGTTTCTTTTTAATAAGCATTATCTTATCTTAAGCTTAAATTAAGCTAAATTAATACACTGCCACGGTATTTAACTCCGCATCAGTGCAAACTTACATGGTCGCGAAGAGGAGCAATAACGATATATTTGATGCATTTCGCTTGCGCTTCTGAATATTTGCGGACGCTGAGGAAATGCCACAGATACGAAATCGTGCACGCAACGATTTATTTCCAAGCTTGCCTGCCGACTTGTATGCTAAAAACGTACGGAATCAGATTCGACTGACTGGCCTGGAGCGACTGCCGTGCGATCCCCTGCCGCAACTTACCGAGATTTTATTCATTTTTACATATGACCGAGCAGGCGATAAGGAAACACCCGTGATATTTCACGTTTTTATGCGGTCGCTTTGCCTTGAGGTGTTGGCCGGCCGCGTAAGCCCTTCGTATAGAAATGTTATACGCCCTGATATGCGAAATAAGTAGCCCCCGGGCACAGGAAAGGCCGCAGCCTCGTTAACTCGACGTCGTAATCCATGATTGTGAAGAAGACCGTTTTTCTCACGATCTCTTCGAATTTCAAACTTCAATATCACGTACATATTATATAACATGACATTGTTCATGAAACCGACGTTTGACATAAAAAATCGTCGGAATTGTATTATCTTTGACAGAAGCGTCAACACTTAGGATTATATTTTTACACTTTCATTCATTATATTACAGTGTCAAATTCATAACGTTAAATTATACTACATTCAAGTTATTTTTAATCGTTTCTATAGATTGTAATCTCCAATGTTATTTCCAGTTTCAGTTTTTATGATTGCGTTTCAAGTCCACAACGAACCGAATTCGCGCGGTTTATAGAAC